TAACTGAACCCAAAGACACAAAAACTGTAATTTATTTGATAAGGAATCAAAAATAGCTGTTTTTTCACCTTTAAGAATATATATTTACAGGAGCAATTTCCCATTCTCTAGGACCCTTAGAAAAAAAGATCCATTTGGGGGGAAGTAAAACAAACAGTGGAGACAAGTGTAGCACTGACCCCCAAATCATCAACTTCTAGGTCCCAGCCCTGGGCTTGGCCAGTGCTGACAGGAGGTGAGACAAGGAGTCCATTGAACCTATCTTCTCCAGCCTGGAATTCAGACAGGGCAGGCTTTGGGTCTCCCATTCCTCTCCTTAAACTCCAGAAACACTTAAAGGGTCCTTTGTACCTGCCCACAAAAAATTGGGGAGCTGTGGGGGGATAACTGAAAATACACATTTGGTATAAAAAATAGCTATTTGAGGAAAACTCAGTGAGCTACAAGAAAACAGAGAAAGACAATGTAAGGAAACGAGGAAAACAATACACAAAAAGAGAAGTTAAGCAAATAGATAAAAATCATATAAAAGAACCACACAGAAATTCTGGAGCTGAAGAATACAATGAAATAAATGAAAAATGAAACATAGACCATCAAGATCAGGATGAATAAAACAAAAGAAAGCATCTGTGAGTTATAAGAAATTTTGAAATTATCCATTTAGAGGAGAACAAAGAAAAAAGATCTGTGGGATACCATCAAAGGTACCAATTTGAAAATTACTAGAGTTCCAGAAGGAGAAGAGAGGGAAAAGAGGGCAGGAAGATTATTTAAATAAATAATGGCTGAGAACTTACAAAATGTGGGGAGAGATTTTGAAGCTCTTGCTGACTATAAAGCTCACAGTCAACAACAACAAAAAATCTGCCTAAGGAGATCCTTTCCAAGACATATTATAAATAAAATTGCCCAAAAAATCACAAGCAAAGAGAGAAATTTAAAAGCAGCAAGAAAAAAAAGCTTATGACGTACAAGGGAATACCCATAAGGCAATCAGCATCTTTCTCAGTAGAAATTTTATAGGTCAGGAGAGAGTAGAATGGTATATCCAAAATGCTGAAAGAAAAAAGCAGCTAGCCAAGAGTACTTTACTGTTAAAGCTGTCCTTCAGAAATGAAGGTGAATAAAGACCTTCCCAGACAAACAAAATTTGAAGGAATTCATCACCACTAAACCCACTGTACACAAAATGCTGAAAGTTCTCCAAGCTGAAATGACAGGATGCAAATTAGTAATATGAAAATATGAAAAATTTTAACACATGGGTAAAAGCAAGAATATGGTTAAATTCAGAATACTTTAACACCAAAACATGGTGGAGTATTAACTACTTAAGTCTTATATAAGGCTAAAGAACAAGAGTCTTCTTTTTTAAGAACAAGAGTCTTAAAAGGTAAACTGTAACATCAAAGACATAAAAGAAACATTGTAGAAATAGAAAAACAATCCTAAAATTTATATGCAACCACAAAAGACCTGTAATAGTCAAATCAATCGTGAAAAAGAACAACAAAGCTAGAGGCATCACACTCCCTGATTTCAAACTATATTACAAAGCTACAGTAATCAAAACGTTTGATACCATCATAAAAATAGACATGCAGACCAATGGAATAGAAGACAGGGGCTACATTTAAACTTCCACATATATGGCTAACTAATATTTAACAAGAGAGCCAAGAATACTCAATGGAGAAAGGATAATCTCTTCAATAAATGGCACTGAGGAAAAATGCTAACTGTATGCCAAAAAAATGGAATTGGATCCCATCTTACACCACTCACAAAAATTAATTCAAAATGGATTAAAGACTTAAGATTTATGACACATACCTTAAAACACCTAGGAAAAAACACAGAAAAGAAGCCCTTTGACATTGGTCTTTACAATAATTTTTTGAATCTGAAATCAAAAGCACAAACAGCAAAAGCACAAACCAACAAATGGGACTATATCAAACTTAAATGCTTCTGCACAGCAAAAGAAGCAATCAGCAAAATGAAAAAGCAACCTATGGAATGAGAGAAAATATGTGTAAATCATATATCAGATAAGGGGTTAATATCCACAATATATGAAGAATTCATACAGCTCAGTAACAACAACAAAATGAACAATTTGATTAAAAAGTGGGTGGAGGGACTAAAAAGACATTTCTCCAAAGAACAAATGGCCAATAGGTACATGAAAAGATGATCAACATCACTAATCATCAGGGAAATGCAAATGAAAACCACAATTAGATATTAACTCACACCTATTAGAATGTCTATCATCAAGAATACAAGAGATAACAATTGTTGATGAAGATGTGCAGAAAAGAGAATCCTTGTACACTATTGGTTCATCTACTATAGAAAACAATATGGAGGTTCCTCAAAAAATTAAAAATAGTTCAACTAAATCATCTAGCAATTCCACATCTTAGAATATACTCAAAGGAAATGAAAACAAGATATCAAGGGGATATATATGCATTACCATGTTTATTGCAGCATTATTCCCAATAGCCAAAGATATGGAGAAAACTTAAGTGCCTATTAACAGATGAATGGGTAAAGAAGTTATATATATACATATATATGTATATATATATATAAATTATTAATATAACTTTTATATATATAATAAAATGTTATTCAGCTATGAGGAAGTAGTAAGCCCTGTCATTTGTGAGATGGATGGACATTGAAGACATAGTCAGACAGAGAAAGTGAGATAAATCAGACAGAGAAAGACGAATGCAGTACGGTATCACTTATATATGGAATCTAAGAAAAAGGCAAATTCATAAAACCAATAAAATGGTGGTTGCCAGGGCCTGGAGGGATTGAGAGAGATATTGTTTGAATGTTATAAATTTGTAACTAGCAAATAAATAAGTCCTGGTGATCTAATGCACAGTATGGTGATTATTGACAACATTATATAATAAACACATCAAACTTGCTAAGAGACTAGATCTTATTTATATCTAGCACAAAAAAACCCAAAGGATAATTATGTAACATGATAAGGTGGTAGCTAATTCTATAACTGCAATCATATTTCAAAATATAAATGTGTCAAATTAACACATTGTATGCCTTAAATTACACATTGCTATATGCCAAATATATTTCAATAAACAAAAAATAAATGGGTTGAGTAAAGTGTAGTTTTTGTAGGCTATTGAAGTTTAGTTGTTAACAGTATAAACAAGACTTGTATCTTTAAAATGTTTTATGTAATCCTCCGGGTAACCACAAAGTAAAAATCTATAGTAGGTTCACAAAAGACAAAGTGGAGGGAATCAAAGTATACCAATACAGAAAAATCATCAAATCACAAAGGAACATGGCAAAAGAGAAAAACATGGACAAGAGAACTACTAAACAACCAGAAAACAAGATGATATTAGCAAGTTCTTATCTACCAATAATTAAATATAAATAGACTGAATTCTACCATCAAAAGACATAAAATAGCTGGATGAAAAAAACACAAGACCCAACTATATGCTATCTACCAGAAACTCACTTCAGCTTTAATGACACATATACGTTTAAAGAAAAGGGACAGAAAAAGATATTACAAGAAAATAAAAACCAAAGAGGGAAGGGCAAATTATACTTACATCAGTCAAAATAGACTTTAAGCCAAAAGCAGTAACAAGAAACAAATAAGGTAATTATATAATGATAAAGAGGTCAATTTATCAAGAGGATGTAACAATTGTGAATTTATATGCACCCAACAGAGGAGCATCAAAATATATTAAGCAAATATTAAGTTATGAAGAAAGAAATAGATAATGATATAATACTAGTAGGGGGCTTCAAAACTCCACATTCAGCAATGAATAGGTCATCCAGACAGAAAATCAATAAGCAGACATTGAACTTGAACTATACTCTAAATAAAACTAACAGATATAATATAGAACATTCCATACAACAGCAGCAGGATACACCTCTTCTCAAGTCCACATGGAACATTTTCAAGGATAGATCATATGATAGGTCAGAAAACAAGTCTTAATAAATTTAAGAAGATTGAAGTCATATTAAATTTTTTATTTTTTGGTTTTGGGCAAACTTTTTATTTAGTGTTCTGTAGTTGCTTAGCACACACTTAAATGGTATTTTTGGGAGAGGGGAAAGGGGAGGTTCCTGTAGATTCCAAGGAAATATCAGAAAGGCAAAATATGGCCAGAATTATCCATTTACTTTTTTTGGATTTACTGGGCAAAGAGCACTTTTCTTACATAAGCATCTGATCTCAGGTTTTTCATACTGAGAACATTGAGATTTCAGTTTGAAGACACTCTGAAATCCTAAGAGTAGTATACTCCTACCATCCTCTATTAGCTAGCTTGTTTGTACAGGCAGAAGGATTTACCTCTCCATTTTAGATGGCTAGATGTTTGTGGAAGGTCTTAGAATTGTTTGCCTCATTTACTGGGAAAAATCAGATATAGAAAGTGGCCTTTTGGGACACTTTTATTTGGAAAATACAACACTAGTGCAGAAGTCAGGTCTTAACACATTTAACATTTGCTTGCCAAAAGCAATGTCATAAAGTCAAGAAAGGTTAAAAAAGTTTACTTTTTTCCCCTCACAAAGACATAAAAATAATGGTATGAGAACTTCACAGGAAATTTTAAAAAGGTAACACATTTTTTCCTTTTAATAGTCATTGGGTTTTTCTTGGTTTGTTTCCTTGTTTGTTTTTTTGAATGGGGATTTTGGTCCAAAGTTTGGTTTTTAATATCTGCTTCTGCCTCTCCCTCTATCAGATCAGCTTCCTCCACAGCCACCACCTCTCGGTGCTCTACAGCTTGAAGTGTTGTAGGAATCACATGGAGGAGAGTACTTCCTTTCCATAGAAGGGGGAAGCCCTCTTTCTTGTCTGCCATCCTAATCATTACCACTTGAGTAGAGATCACTTCAGCTGCCTGTCTTGCTTTCTGCCATATCCATCATATGAGCTGCTGCAATCATCACAGAGACTGCATTCACCATAAGATGGCAGGGGCCCTCTTGTAGGGGGGCATCACATGAGTTACCATAACTCTCATATGAATCTCTGTAGGAACCTCCACTTGGATGATCTGAATAGTTAGAATCAGGACCATAGCCATCTCTATCACTATAGCCTCTTGATGGGTAGTCATCATGTGAACTAGAATGACCAGAGTCACAGTAAATATAATCTCTTGGTGGTGGTGCTTAATCTTTTGTATCAGGAGAACTTGGGTAATCTGTGCTTGAAATGCTGTCTTTAGTAGAATGCCCATCATCTCTTGGGGAGAAATAAACATCTCTACAAGAGGGCAGGGGTTCCCTTCAAGGTGTATCTCCATAACTATCTCTTCCATATTGCACCAGAGCCCTTCCTTCCATTCCACTGCTGCTGTGAACTGGTCCTGAAGAGGCAAATCTTTAGGAGGAAGACAGCCACTTTGTGGTGGTGGTCCCTTTTTTTATTGGAAGTGGTCCCCTGGAATAATTTATGTTAAGATTCATAGAATAGCCACCATTATCCATGTGTCCCCTCCATGAAAGAGGTCCCCTGATTCCTCCCCTTCCTCCTCCTCCACCTCTGAGACCTCTTGGACGGCCTCTGCTTTTTGGAGGTAGAGGTGGTTCACATCTATCACTTTCAAATGATGGTTTAGTGGTTTGTTCTACCTTGATGGCTTTTTGGTATAAGGACTTTCCATTCACATCTCTGGCTGCATCCTTAGCATCTGCTGGGCTTTCAAATGTGACAAAAGCAAATTCTCTTGATTTGTTGGTTTCATGATCTTTCATCAATATAACTTCTACTATTTTGCCATATTTGTCAAATACTGTTTCAAGGGATTTCTCAATTGTTTTTGTATTAAGGCCACCAATGAAGAGCTTTCCTGGGTGATCTGCTTCAACTATTTTTATGCCCTGATAAGAGTTGGAGTGGTGATGACAGTTTTAAGCTCTTATGAACTTACCGGCAGGGGCTTCATAGCAGCTCAGCATGACAGAGAGCTGCTGTTCCAAGAACAGAAGAGGGAGGCCATTAATGCTATTGTACAACAAGGGTGAACCTCATATCAAATTTTAATTTAATAAATTGACTACCCATTTGACTTTATGACATTGGTTTCAATAAGCAAATGTTAAATGTGTTAAGACTTGACTTATGTACTAGCTAGTGTTGCAATTTTCCAAGTAAAAGATGAAAACTCTCCTGTAACAGCATAGAAAAGTTCTGTTACATCAGAGGAGAAACCAAAAACATTTTGGCTCCAAATACAATACTGAACTTCATAGTTTTACTATACTTTATTTGATCAAGAGGATATATGTGAGTATGCAAAATTCCATTAACTATGCTTACTCAACACTTATATCCATATTTCAAAGGAGAAATAACACTAATTTTACTGTTTTTGAAGTAAATATAGAAAGAACTAAGCATATTTTTTATTGCAATATTCCTTTAAAAGTTAAATTTGTTAGGGTCTAGGTATAAATATAACTTACTTAATGTCACACTATCATTTTCTCATATGTACTGTAACATATAGATATAGATTATAGATGGAATGGCCAAAATACTCTTCAAAAATCATTGACTTTTATGCAGAAAAAAGGTATGTTCAAACCTCAAACAAAATACTGGAAATGAAAATGGTCTGTCATATTATGGCAGCATTTGGTCATGTAAAGATATCAAGCTTTTCCTATTTATCAAGGTACCCAACACTTTTAGATAAATTTATTTTATATAAGTCAGTCAATGAGTAAATATTTCGTATAAGCCCTGTGGCATTTTTTCTTGTGGGTGAGGTTATGGCTTAATAGATAATTATATAAATTGCATTCTTTCAGGGTATTCAGAGCATAATTGGTGAGATTAGTTGGTATTCCATTGCTCAGGAAAGATATTTTTCTTTATTTTTAAAATGTAATATATGAAATGTACTATAATAACCAACACCCAAGATGGCATCCAGTACTCCACATTTTAGATATTTATGCTCTTGTGTAGTTTCCTCCCCTATTCAATAGGTGTCTCATGGTGTATGACTTCAAAAGCTAGGTCATAAGAGGTATTATAGTTTCTACCTTGCTTTCTCTTCAATCACTTCTTCTGGGAGAAGCCAGCTGACACATGGCAATAAAACAAAACAAAAAAAATGAAGCAGCCCATGTAGGCCCAGTAAGAAGAATTCAGTAAGAAAGAACTGAGTCCTCCTTCCAAAATACAGCATTAAGCATGTGAGTGAGGCACCATAGATGCAGATTTCCTAGCTCTAGTCAATTCTTAAGATATTGGCAGCCCTGGCTGACATGTGACCAAACATCATGAGATACCCTAAGCCAGATCCACCTGCTAAGTTGGTCTTGAATTTCTGCCCAGCTAAGGTCTGAGACAATGTGCATCAAAGATAAATAATATACCATAAAGAAGAATACACGTAACATATATGTTATTATAAAACTTAATAAATACTGTGATACCACCACCACCACCACCCAAATTTATAAAATCTGATATTATTAAATGGTTGCATCCATTTCTACTTGTTTGCCCCTATGTTAGTATAGGACTTTTAAATGACTACTTATTGGTATCATCTCATTTTCTAGCAGAATATGTGTCCCTCTCCAGCTTTTGTTTTCTCTTTTAAGAATAGCTTGGCTATTTCTTTTGCCATTTCCTATATAGTTTGTTTCCAATTACCACAAGCTCAGGGTCTCAGAATCCATGAAAGGCAATTGAGATATTTGTTTGAATTGCATTTCAGACAATTGAGTATTTGACACTGAATCTTCCTATCCATTATTTCTATTTGTTTAGCTCTTTCAGTAAATTTTCATAATATTCCTCATACATGTTTCACATAAGTTTTGTTGTTTTTTTTCCCTCAGGCACCCTACATAGCCATAAAATTCGCTCTTCATTAGCTTATTTCATTTAAATTTAATTCCTAATTTTCATTGGCTTAATTGCCCCAAAAGTAGGAACATAAATATCATTATTTAATTTTTTAAGAAAAACAAAAGCATTTATTCAACATTGTATTTTCTTAGCCAAAACATATTCCATGTGACTCATGCTTATTTTTTTCCATAGATGAGCTTAAAATAATGTAATTTATGACATTCCTGATACATTGCTAAATATGATGGTAAAAATGTAGTAATAAAACTACATAAGCTAAATCAGAAGGAATCTGTCAAACTAATATGTAAAACATAATATGAAAAAAACAGCATTTCACTGAATATGTTTTATATGCTTTATCATCTACTTCATATTATGCATTACATTTAGTTATTTACTACTGAAACGGGAGACAAATACCATTTAGTCAACTTACTGGATATTACCTATAGAATATGCAGAATATTTTACTTAAGGAAAAAAATTGGTTCATTTATATAATAATTGCTCTGTGAAGAGTTAATAGTAGTCAATCTGAATTTCAATTCTATTTACAGACCAACCATGAATCTGTGGACCAGAGTACACATGAAACATTGTCTCATAAACTTTAAATTCGTGATAAAAGATTTTTAACACAATAAATATTGTGAAATTAACAAGAAGCTAAAGTGATTTCCTAAGACAAACTAGCTATGAAATCTAAACAAAAGATTCCTTAGTTTTTTACCTTTGAGTAATAGCTTTATAAAGATTCATTAAATAAATCCAAAGGTAAGTTTAATAAACCACATTTTCCCCCATTATTTTTTTTTCCTGAAAGAGAATGTGTGTGCATGTGGGTATGCACTGTGCAAGGAGGTTTGGGGAGAGGGAGAGAGAATCTTAAGTAGGCTCCATGAGCACAGAGCCTGATGTGGGGCTCAGTCTCACAACCCTGAGATCATGACCTGAGACAAAATCAAGAGTCCAATGCTTAACTGACTGAGCCACCCAGGTGCCCCTCCCCAATTCTTCAAGCCAGTCATTCTTGAAAAATAATCTAGCAGAACCTCTCTTTTAATATCACAATAAAGGCTGAAGTTGGTACCAGAGTCTTCATTCTGAATCAGTCTGGGAGTGATCAAGAGACATTTCCTTTCCAGAATCCTCATAAGTGAATTTAAACACGTATGTGTGAGCACTATCTTTTCTTTCAGTTCTGCAATCTTTTCCTGTAGAGAGAACAATTGTGATTCTCCAACTCAGGTGTACTTACTATGGCTTTTGTTTTTAAGAGCTAGGATACTAGAAGGAAGGTAGAAGTAACCTCTCAAAGCAATCAAGGAAGCATTGATGAATAAAAATGGGAACCAATGGGAAAGATTATAGATCCTGGCTCTGAGTGAATTTTCAATGTCTTTGGGAAAGGAAAAATAATTTTCCCTCTACTCTTCTAGGTTCTTGGCTGAGATCCTCCTGTAATAAAAAGATTAACAAGAGAAAAACAAAAAGTTTAATAGCATGTATACCTCATATATACATGGTAGAGACCCAGAAAAACTGAGTAATTTGTCTGAATCACCCAAGTCACATCTTAAATCTCATCTCCAGCTAAAAACAAAAGATGTTGTGCCTGGGGAGTCAGTTATGAGAGGCTACAGGGAAAAGGACAATATATAAGAGTAAGGTTGTTATGTAGATTTAAGTCACTGCCTTCTGTATAAGAGTTTCTAGAGATTTAGAGTCAATTTTCTCTTCTTGATACAGAGAAAGAGTAACCCTTACAAATGGAGATTTCTCTATAAATGTAAATATTTCTTACAAAAGAGTAAGTTCTATTCAGTTTTCAGAGCTTCACCTGTGTCTGCTGTTTCTTAAAAATAACTAGCTTAAAATAATCAATATGCCAAAGAGGAATATTTTGGGGTGGTATATTTTGCTTTCTTTCAGTCCAATGTAAGGGAGTTTCCCAAAGAGGGTTATCCCTTATTCTTCCTGGAATGCAGCCAAGGTTTTGGCTCCCCAGATCCCAGTCCTGCAGGACCCAGTGGGTATCTCACTACCATCTGCTTTGTCCTGCTCCATGGAAGTTATAAAATAAAGTTTGACAATTACTTTGTTAGTCTCACAATCACAAAAATTACCCTGTTGCAACTTAGCATAGCCCCAAAAATAGTCTTTTAATAGCTGAAGGGCTACATTTTTATGTTTTTACATTTATTTTTGACTTATGACTGAAGTAGAGAAATGAAGCTGTAAGCTCTCTTACTGCTGGGGTGTCTAATTGAGAAGAGCCTCTTGTAATCTGAAATATTTTTCTATCTCCAAGGAGTATTAATGAATTAGGTTATATAGTCTCCAAAATTGATGGAGCTTTATTTTAATGGGTTTATGGAGATTTATAAATGTATCTATATCTAGCATTTCTAAAAGTGTACAGAAAATAAAGAAGCTGAAACTTTAAATATGCTAGCTTTTTAAGAGAAAAACATTTTTCTTTTTAAGATTTTATTTATTTATTTGGCAGAGAGAGAGAGAGAGAGAGAGAGCACACAGAAATAGGCAGAGTGGCAGGCAGAGAAAGGAGAAGCAGGCTCCTCACTGAGCAGAAAGCCCAACACAGGGCTTGATTCAGGACCCTGGGACCATGACCTGAGCCAAAGGCAGACCTTTAACCAACTGAGCCACCCAGGCACCCCAAAAATATTTTTTACAGAAACTGTGAGCATGTTTAGGTAAGAATCCAAGTTCACATTTTCAAAGTGAATCTCTGAACAAATGAGGCTGGTTTCAAAACAGTGTTATGACTTTTCTCAAATTTTTATAAGTATTAAGTATAATTTAATCAATGTAATATATTTTTATTATATTAAGTTTGTTTTTTCATGAAGAGACTAATAATTCTGAAATTCACAAACTTTTTATATTGGCTTATTGTTCAGATGGCAAATTTTTTCTATACATTGATTAGGATTGTGAAAAATTTAAAACTATATTCATAATTCTGACAAAGTTCATAGACAATAATAATTATATGTAAAGTAATATGGACGTGTGTACATAACTTCCTAAGATTGTTATATGGATTCT